TCCCCCTGTTGCAGACTCATGAGTTCTGCAGTAGTCTTCTCTCGGCGGTTTGCTGTGGAAAACTTGCTCCTAAACTTGGAGGACAGATCATCCCACCCTGTTATGGAGCCTTGCTTTACTCCCTTGGAGATCCACGCTTGCGCGACCCCTTTGAGAGTGGTTGGGAAATATTTGCACCAAGTCGCTTCGGATCTGGGGCAAAGATGCATATGAGTCTCATACGAGGCCACGTGGTCCTTCGGATCCGAGGTCCCGTCATATGTGATGTGCGACGGTATTTTAACCGTGGGCACGTGCTCTTCCAGTATCCATTGCTCGAATGGCGAACTGGCGGGTAGCATAACGGCCTTGCCCTTGTTCCGGGCCGAAGGGACCGCGCTCCGCCCTCTTAGAGAGGTAGGAGTGGTTTTCGTCCCTGGCTGGGAAGTCTGGGCCTCGGCCGCAGGGAACGAGAGGCGACTGCGCACGCTCGGTTCCTAGCCGCCGAGTCGGTCGAGGACGCTTCGGCGAACAATCTCAGGTCGTTCTCGGTGAGTAGATTCTGGCCGAGAAGCTGAGCTGCTGCTCTTATGCGTTTCTGGTCGGGAGGATGAGGATCCTTTTAAAAATTTAGGGTCCTTTTTCCTCTCTTTTTCATTTTTCCAGATATCCTCTTCCCACTCTTCCAGTTCCCGGAAGGAAGGAAGCTTCCCACCATCATGGTCTAGCTTCCTCCGGTGATGCCGGGTATGCGGAGGAGTTCGATCACGAGGTGGTGGCATATTTTGTGCCCTCATCGCCTCCATGAGCACTGCCAGCGCTCTTGCCACCTCCTCCGAGCTGGGCCCCGTCAAAGGGGTCCTCGGCCGAGTATGGGAATGAGGGCGCACAGTCGATGGTTGGCTTTGGGGCACTGAATGTGTCCTATGATCGGACTCACCCCTGCTAGACCGAGAGTGACTCGGCCTATGATGAGAGTTATGAATTACAGGAGAAAGGGAATCCTCCCTGTATGATCCTCCCCCCGAGCTGGCACCCTTGGGAGAGTTCCGGTCCGGCGAGGGTGATGGTGTAGGGGTTTTAGGCTTTTCGCCCGCTCCTTGACGGAGGCCTTTGCTCTTGCGGTTCTTAGCCATTGCTACTAAGATAATTGCAAGATGATCTTGGTTAGAAATTTGGCTTAAAGATTTTTGAAAGTCTTCCCCACAGACGGCGCCAAATTGTTTCGGGTGAAAACAATGGGACCTTGCCGAAGGTCCGATGATGTGGTGAAGACTAGATTCGATCCAAGAAATGTTGGGCCGAAGGTTTCCTGCACAGTAAACACACGTAAACTAGCCTCGGGGGTGTTGCCGAGGAAGGCCCCTCCGATGCTAAAGTCAGTACAGTGTGTAGAAAGAGAACACTATGCAAGAGAATTAATTGCTTGAGGCTTTGCTTGAATGAATGTACTAATGTAATATTGATGGCTTTTATACCTCTTCATACATGGAGAAGTTGGGCTTTAGCCTAATTGGCTTGCCTTGAGGACTGATCTTTGACTTTAGCACAATTGGAGAGATGAACCTTGACCTTGGGCTTTTAATTGGATCATTTAATGCCTAAGCCCAATTGGACTAAATTGGACCCAAACAATAGGTACCTTGAAAAATCTGACACAGGAACCCTTGCAATTATTTGATCACAAATTATGGGCAGGACACATTATCAGACTCTATCCAAATCCTCTTACGCATAGTGTTGTTGGTCATTTTGCACACTCAAACGCCATATTAAAAGAAATCGAAGCAGCAGTGGTGTATACGGGCAAGAATTGCCACGGTGATCTTTGCGGCCGGCTCCTTGCTTGGTCAGATTGCAACGGTAAATTGAAGGTATGTAGGATTTTTTTTTTGGTGAAGTGGTAGGTAGATTTTGAAGTACTTTTTTTTTTTTTGTTTTGGAAACCATATATCTAAGTGCATTGATGATTATAAGCTTCCTTTCAATAAAAAAAAAACATTGATTATAAGCTAATAGGATGTTTCTACAGTGGTCATATGAAATATGACTACCTTATTATTTTAATGATAAACAATATGAGCGATTCATTTTTTCACACTACGAATTGGACACAATTAATATTCTAATTTCAACAATGCAAATATAATTTTTGAAAATTTTAATCCAACATAAAATAAATATTTTTCTAAAAACTATAAAATAAGTGTAAAAATTACATAAATAAAACTAAAAATTTGATAAATTAAAAAAATACTGATAATAATAATTTATAGCAAAAATAGATTAATATATATAATTACTTGGATAAAAATACGTTAATTATGAACTATATAATCATCAAAATATTATAGTAGTCATATTTCAAACGACCACTATAGAATTTTTATAAGCTAATATATATACTTCATTTCTTTTTTGCCTTGTTGCAATGCTTTGACTTTTAATAGATGATTCCTTTTTTTTGGTAACTAAAGCTATATTTAGTTCACCTTATTGTATTTAGGAATTGGAAATTTTGATAATTACCACCATTTATTGTTGCCAAAATTGAAAATACCACCTTAAGGTTTTTTTTTTTTTTTTTTTGAATTTTACCACCTACTTTTTTCCAAAAGTTTTGAAAATCCCACCACTTTGTGAGATGAGTCATTGTAGGACCCACAATTTCGTTTTCCCTCGATTTCCCCTGTTCTTCTACTCTCCTCTTTCAATTTCATCTATGAAATTTGATATTACAAAAATTTTGGAAATTAGGTTATAATTTCTACAATCTAACCTAAAACGAAGTGAGTTGATAAGATTAATTAGGGTTTAGGTAATTAATTCGGGATTTTTGCTAAATTGGACAAATTTGGGAGTTATAATTTCTACAATCTTAGTTTTTTTTTTTTTTTTTAATTCTTGTTTTTTATTTCTCGAGGCCTAGCCTCTTGTTGGCACCCAAAAAAAAAAAAAAAAAAACTACGAAGTATTTTACTCCGTATATTAAATCTTATTGTATTAATGTTATAACTTTTTTTAATGGTAATAAGTTATAACCCGGGGCAGGTTTATGCGGAATGTGGGCGTGAAACCAAATTCAAGAACATCGACTGGGAACAGATCAAAATGAAGTTGCATGACAGTGACTCGAAGACAGCCAATATCCATGATAAGGAGACTGGAACCACACTGGTTGCTAAATTAAATGGCTTCGGTGGCACCGATTATCTTTCTGCTTTCTTTTTCTTTCATTATTAAACTTGTATAATAAATGGAGTTCTGTTTAAAATGTCTTGTATCATTTATATGTGAGTGTTCTTGATATATATTTCAATATTTTATGGGAGGGTTACTCAATGGTATACTATTGTTTTTTTTTTTTTTTTTTTTTTTTTCATTTCAAATCTTCATTTGAGCAAATTTGTCAAATCAATAAAAAGTTTACCTTTGGGTGCTTGTGCTTACCCTTTTGTGCACTTGAATACATGTAAGAATATTTACACTTCTTTCGTTTTTTGTTACTTATTACAATATGTATTTATTAGACTTGAAATATTTAGTGAGAATATTTACACTGGTTTGTTGAGAAAAACCACCTTTTTAGGTTTTTTTTATTTATTAAATCACCTTTTAAGTACCTAAATTTTTTATTGCATCACCCCTATTTCAAATCTAACAGATTGCATCTCAATTATCCATTTCCAAATCATTAACCATAGCAAAACCTTCCCTTCCATCTCAGCCATCACTTCAATTACCTCAATTTAGGGTTTGAGAATAAACAAATATTACAATTTAATATTTTTTAGCAAAATTAGGTTTGGTTTTTATAGAGCTTTACTCAATTTAGTCATGCATTTATATAGAGGGAAGGGTCAAATGTTTTTTGTAGTGAAAAAAAAAATTACATGATTTAGGAGCAAAAGACACAAGTTGTGGGCCCCTTTGACATCTCAGTTAAATTTTTCGTCAAAATTTGAAATAGGGGTGGTGCAATCAAGAATTTTGGTACTTAAAAGGCGGTTTAGTAAATAAAAAAACATAAAAGGTGTTTTTTTTTTTTTAAAAAAAGGTGGTTTGTACCAATTTATATATATATATATATATATATATATATATATATATATATATATATATATATAAAGATTTTTTTGTCTTTTAAGTCTCATCTACTAGTACTCTGTAATACTTATTGACTTTGTATTTTTGAAGTCATAAACATTACACAACAAACAATGACGTGAAATATAGGTAGTTTTACTTAGAAAGCAAATACTTGAATGATTTGTTTCGACTTAAAAACGTTGAAATCGTTTTAAATTACTACGGCGTAGAATTTTCATTAGCCTAGTGGGACTTATTATTCATTTTAAAATCCTCTTATATAGTTATTTGTGGTTCGGATTGATTAGGATCTAAATGGCTATGTTTGACCTTGTATTCATTTGAAAATCCACTAAAAAGTCAAAATGGCATCGTCTTATTTTATATGAACGGATGAACGTACTTTGGATAATAAATACGGAGTATACATTAATATAAGACATGTTCACATTTACTTAATTTCAGTTTAGTTCAGTTCAGCTCTAATTAGTTCAGCTTAATTCAGTTCAGCTCCAATCAGTTCAGTTCAGCTTCTAATTTTCCTCTCTCATAAAATTTCATTTCAGCTCAGTTTAGTTCGGTACAGCTCCAATCAGTTCAGTTGAGTTCAGTTAATATGAACAGACTCATAGTATATTGCAATTTGATGTTACAAAAAGAAAAATACTACTCCGTATGAGATACATTTATAATCATTTTAAAGTAATCAAACCACCCCCACCCCTCTTTTTTATTGTAAGATAATGATATTGAATTGACTATTGTCATAACAATGACTATTATTTAATTAGCTGCAATGTATACGTTAGTTGTAATAAAAAAAAATTCAAATTAATAAACTAATACGTCTGTAAAACCTTCGCGAAATACGTATGCAAATGTTATGAACAAAGTCTATAAAACCTACATAATAGGGTATTGTAAATGTACATCAACATCATTTTATTACTTTAGCTTGCAATAATCCTTGAGGAGCATACACGATTACACTCTATCAAGGTGCTTTCTTCCTTTTGTCTTTCTATGGTTTGTTATTTTATACGTAGTACAAGATTTATATTTCTTCATTTAGTTATCGTATAATATAATTATGTACTACATCGTAGTAACTACAATTTGGGTATACGTATATTAAATCCATAATAGCTTTTACATGTAAATTATATACTTCAATTCATCAACGAAATATATTGCTTCTCCAAATTCTTCTTACAATGTACTACGTGTTTAATTTTTCACGATTTATTATATAGAATTGTACATTGATTACAATTGTTGTCCTAATGGTTATTGAATGTTTTTCGATAAAAAGATGTATGTTTACCTCTATAACTAACTTGGTAAATATGAACGTATGCATAAGAAAAAAATGGCATCAACAACAACCCAATCTGAGGAGGAAGTGAGTGTCGAATTGAGCAGCCAAGAGAACGCGGTTATAGATGAGATGATCAAGGACGCGAAGAACTCGTGTCTCTCGGAGGAAATAGTAAACAAGTGTCGTGCCATGATTGTTGAAAATGGAGAACAAAACACGACCGTGGTTGGTGGCATATCTCCAGTGATCGCGTTAGGAGGCACCTTAAAGAATCAGACAAGAGGAACCTTAACCGTTCTTGATTCGAAGCTATGGGCAGGGATCATTGTGAAAAAATATCCAGATCCTCTAGATAGAATTGGCCTATTTGCGCAAGGTTGCGCATGGTTTAAGGGAATTAAGGCGGCAGTGGTGTATACCGGCGAAAATAGTGCTGGTGTTGAATGTGGTTGGCTTCTTGCTTGGGCTGACTCTAAGACCAAGGGAAGGAGGGTAAGTTCACAATAATTATCATTATTACAAAATTTCAAATGATCAATTCTTGTTTTATTAATGTATGAAGGAAATTTTGATAATTACCACCTTCTGTTATGTCCATTTTAACAATTACCACCTTCTATTTTTCTTTTTGAAAATTACCACCTTCTATTTTCAAAAACATGAAAGTTATCACCTTCTTGCCTCCCAACTACAACGTGACATCATTTTGGGCTCATTCTTTCCCTTTCCTCCCTATTTCTCTCCCATTTCTCTTCCATAACCCGATTCTTACCTTCTCATTCACTTATTTTCCCCCAAAAATTAAGAAACTCTTCAATTCACTCCTCCAAATCAAAATTGACGGAAAATTATTGGTGGTTTGGGGGAAAAAAAGTGAAAGGGGAGATGAGAATCCAAATAGGAATAAGAAATGTGAGGGAAATAGGGAGGGAATGGAAAGAATTTGCCCAAAATGACGTCACGTGCTAATTGGGGGGCAAGAAGGTGGTAACTTTTGATGTTTTTGAAAATAGAAGGTGGTAATTTTCAAAAAAAAAAATTGAAGGTGGTAATTGCTAAAATAGACATAACAGAAGGTGGTAATTGTCAAAATTTTCATGTATGAATGACAGAAACCAAAACCGGCTTTGATTTTCTAAAGTTACTGATAACCAATCTTTGAAGCTGCAAACATCAGCTTAATCTTTTGATTGAGATGGTCACCATTTAACAATTACCACCATTGTTTTTTTTTTCGTCGAGATTAGTGTACTGTACAAATTAAATAAAGTAAAAGTTTAGTTAAATCAATAAATTAGACTGATGACCAAATTGCAAAAATTTAAATCAAAATTGATGAGGTGAATTGAACATAGCCTAACATGTACGTATGTATCTGTTTGTATAAATGGGACAGATTTACGCCAAGTGTGGCCGTAAAAGCGAATTCGAGTGTATCGATTGGGAACATATTAAAGAAAAATTGAAGAAAGCTTTTCCAGTAGTTAGGGCTCATGACAGCTCCACTGGAACCTCAGTGTATGGTACAATAATTGGCGTGGAGTCAGCAGTATCAACTGAAGATGCAGTTCTTGGAGTTTTCACTGGTTAAATTCACAAGTTCTTTGCTATGAACAACATAATATGCCGTTGATCCGGACAATACTGCTTATTACCCTGTTATTTCACTGTTTATGTTATTATTTATTTTATGTGTCAGAGTTATGAGGGGTATTCTTATGTTACGTTCCTTGTAAAAAAATGTAAGCGTCGTCTATCGTATCTACCTTGTATTTGTTGGTTTCTATACTCTTAATCAAATAAAAAATGCCCCCCTTGAGTTTTTCCTACATGATGCTCTTTGTAGTGTTTACTCATAATTATGAGTTACTCGATCTAATCTGTATGTTGCTAAAATAAGGTTATAAATAGATAAAAATTTGATTTGATCTGATTTTCAAAATAAAGCTTCTTATTTCATAATTATACCAATTATATTATCCCAAAAAAAAGATGATCTATAGACAAATTATGGAACAAAAAATAATAATTGAACACTAAGTGGAGTCGGGTTTCAAAAAAAAAAAAAGTGGAGTCGAACCTACAGGAGCTATTGTAAGCCCAATTACCACTAAGCCACCAAAATTATAACAACAAATATATGAAATTATTTAGATATATATACATACTAAAATTAGAATGATTTGTTAAGGTTGAAGTCTTTTAAAATTAATTGTTCTTAATCTGTATAGAAAAATGAATAGTCTAATGGATCCGGCTGGCACAAATACAATCGTGAACATATGATCAAATATTTCATGGGTATATTAATCATATAAGACTCAGCAAAATGGCCATTCTAGGGTTTTATTTATATTTGGTCGGTCATTTTTTCAAGTCATTTCTGTCCAATTAAATCTGTTTCGATTATAAGCTAATAACTATTAAAAATCATCTTAATGAGACTTGTTTTATTTTATTTGTTTGTCAACTTTTTTTTAATGTTTCATGAGGCCTATAAATACCATTAGTTAGGGTCTTGGTATGTGCATCAACAACAATTACAACATCTTGTTAGTTTGCAATCTTTTACGCATTATAATACTCTTTTGAGGTAATTTCTTCCTCTAATCTTTTTATTGTGTTCTTTTATACGAAGTATATTGGTTAGTAGTCTAGCTAAGTAGCTAGTAGATTGAATTCACTGGAATGATTGCCATATCAAAAGGGTGTATTAAAGCCGTAGTTTAGCTTTTACCATAACTTCAACAAATTATTTTTTTTCTCCAAATTCTCCCTCATCCTTTTTTTTTCTTTTCATTTTGTCGATAAGTTTTTGACAAAGATTTTTATGATTGAATACGATACAAATTAAACACTAGAAGTCTAGAATTAAACTAAGAATGAAGATTGATCTACAATCTACATGTCTTAATATTCTTAATTGTATTTTAATGTTTTAGGGATCGTTATTTATTATATTGGCATATTGATCATAGTTACAAGTCTTTATTGTTTCAAAGTCTAGCTTAAAATGTTAGTGTGAGTATTGAACATTTCATATAAGTTTTTGAAGATTTTGACTTTTGAAATTAATTAAAAAAAATAGTTTTTGGCCTAGACATTTCATACAAGTTTTTGTAAAAATAATCATAGAAATACAAGTTTTTGGATATGTATATCAAATTTTGGGTTGATGGTTTCACGGTGAAACAGATCGACTCTCCTAATTCTGTGTGCAATGGAAGTATATATGTTAATTAAAAGTTTATCCTTGCTTGCTGTGATTGATATTAACTTCCGGACTATATAAATGCATGATATACACATTCAAGGTACATAAGAAAAAATAAATGGCATCAAGCACGACCCATGTCGAGTTGAGCAGCCTACAGAAAGCGGAGTTGGATGAGATGATCAAGGAAGCCGAGCCCATATTAGCTGAGTATAAAGTTCAACATGTGACCGAGGTTGGTGGCGCAGTATTGCCTCTGATCGTGTTAGAAGGCTACTTAAGGGCCGTAACACTAAGACCCTTGACCCTTTTTGATTCCAAGCTATGGGCTGGAAAAATTGTCAAAGACTATCCAAATCCTCTTGATGGTTCAATTAGTACCTTTGCACAAATTTCCGTAAAGGATGATGGGATTATGTCAGCGGTTGTTTATACCGGCAAGAACATTGCTGGCGTTGAATGTGGATGGCTTCTAGCTTGGGCCGACTCTAAGGCTAATGGAAAGAGGGTAAGTACACAAACATTCAGTTTTTGATTTAGACTATATATCTATTTCAATTTATAACTTATTTCAAATCAGATCACATCATATAAGAAAATAAACTAAAGAAAAATTTGTCTAGAATTACCCTAAAGATAGAGTCATTTGTAAACAACTACCCATTTTTTTTTTATTTGTTTAGAACTATCCACAAGTTAAAAAAACATTTGGGTAGCACTACCCATTAACATTTTGCGTCCAATTAAATGGAGATAAATCAAATGTTTTTTTTTGGTATGTAAATGGGGCAGCTTTACGCGGAGTGTGGTGTCATAAGCAAATTCAATTGCATCGACTGGGAACGTATTGAAGAAAAACTGATTAACTCAGGGCTATTGGCAATTATTGTTATTGACGGCGAAACTGGAACTTCGGTGTATGCTAAACTGACTGGCGTGGACTTTCCGATGCAGACTCAAGACCAGCTTGCTGCAATCTTCAGTGGCTAAACAAGTTCCCTACAATGATCATCATAATATGCAGTTGATCCGGACTGTGGATCACTCTACTTGTTACTTTGTTACATTCTAATGTATTTATTCGTATGATTTTATTCACTAATGTGCTACTGTCTAGTTACGAGGGGCATTTTTATTGTTCTTATCTCATGTCCTTCTTGTAAGAAAATGCAAGCGTCTGCCGTCTATCTACATTGTGTCATTCCTTGGTTTCTATAACCTTGCTAAAATGCTAAATAAAAAAGCCCCCTCTCTTTGTTTCTTTGTTTTTTGGTTATGTAGTGTGGTGTGGTGTGGTGTGTTGTTTTGTTTTGTTTTTCCTTCTCTTTTCTCTTTGTTCTTGGCTTTGCCTCATATTCTCCTCGTTTTAGAATACTTGCTCTATTTCTTCATGCGTTGAGTTTTAGGATAAATTGGAGAAACAAATAAAATAGGGAGGTAGTGGGGTAAGTTGTCAAAACTTTCGGTCTGAGGTATAAAGCTGTTTACTGAAACAGTTTCAACCTTAACCGAGGAAAGTTCGAAAAGCTAAGGAACATTGATATTTGATATTGTAGCAATTGCAAAACTATCCTAGATAATGTATGGAGTATTTTATATTTATTGACTTAGAAAGTTTGAAGTCATATTATTTTGTGGAACATTTCATCATATCGAACGTGACGTTGTGTGACGTTACAAGATAATGGGTGGCTGACACAATCGTGCAACGTTATGCTCCGTAGTAAGCTTCTAAAATACACCTACACCATTAGAAAGTCTACAAGTATAACCTACGAACAAGTTGAATAAAGTGTTATGATGATGTGTCAAGTTATAATTGGTTAATTTTTTATTTATTTTTAAAAGGCTAAATGTACTATACATGTATATGTGCTTGTAAATACATGTATTTTTATAAAGAATACATCATTATAATTTTTTTTTTAAGAAAATCATTTCAAAAAATTAAAATATAATTAAAATTTTGAAATCAAACTTAAAAAAAAAAAATAAAAAAAAAATAAAAAAACAGTTTGCAGACCAAATATTCAGTGTTCTTCATCATCGTTAATGGCCTAATGGGCATTTTTTTTTTATCATTCTGCTGGGCAATTAGGGTGCATCAATTAGGTTGCAGGTTCTGGCGACTCTTCCATCGCACGTAGATCCGGCGAAGGTTCAAGGCGGCGGCTCAAGGTTCTGACGAATTTGCAAGCGGTTTTAGGCGTATGTGGGTGCCTTTTTGGTGCTTTTTTAAGGGTCTTTCTGGGTGGATTTCTTGAATAGTTTTGGGGTGTGTTTCTGGTGCGATTTTCAGGCGACAAACATAGGCATTCTGGCATGGCAGTTCTTGGACTTTTTGGCACCGATTTTAAGATAGGTTTTGGTCAATTTCAAGGAGGTTTCAGGCGACTTTCTTGGGAAGGAAATGGTCAGTTTTCCGGCGATATTCAGGCAATACTTCTGACAGTCATTCTTATTCTCCGGCAGCATATCCATGATCCTGATTTTTAATTATAAGTATATTTTCGAAAATTTATTAATGTTATGATATAGAATCTCATAATTTATGAAATGATTGATGAACGATGATGAATGATGATGATGAATGATGAACGATGAACGATATTAGAACAATGATGAACGATGATGAATAATTTTGACGTATATGAAGGAATTTAATTTTATGATTTCTAAATTATAATTATAATTTCGAATATTAATTTTTATTATAAAAACTAGATTTTCAAAATTTATAATTATGTAATTCTAAAAAAAATTACAAGTATTAAAAAGAATACAAAAAAAAAATACAATTTTAATACATTATAGACATTAAAAATAATTCAAAATGAAAATAAAAATACAAAATATAGGCCAATCAGATTTTTCCACATCATCAAGTTGTGGTGTCATTTTTAAAGAATGACATTGTAGAATTTTTACATTATATATGAGAGACTTATCCTTGATTTTCTTTTTTTTTTTCAAATCTTGGAAATTGTTTCTTTATTTGAAGTCTTTTAAAAATAGTCTTTCTTAATCTGCATAGAAATATTAATAGCCTAATAGATCCGGCTGGCACCAATACAATCGTGAACGTTTGTTTGTTTTTTTTTTTTTTTTTGAAGAAGAAATACAATCGTGAACGTACGTAGTGACTTAGTGATCTTATTGATCTAAAGATACATTTACATGAAATAGACAATTTTACATACTACCTCCGTTAATTGTTATCTGCAACTTTGGGGGTATTATTTGAGAGATGTAAAATATTCCAAAGTTGCAGATAACAATTAACAGAGGTATTCTTCTGTATGTAGGAAATTTGAGGATACCAAATACGGGTGTTTTCAAATACTGGAGATAGTAATTCTATTCTCACAATTAATTGTAAGGTAATTTATGCTCTCAATTCTTTAACTACCCTTAACTACGAGGTTGTAGCTAGGATCATTCTTCACTAGACTAGTAGGAGTAACTTAGCTTGGCGGTGGGGGATCCCCATACCCTTATACCAACTTTCAACAGATATTACTCGGTAACCCAAATCGAGTTGACATGTGAGAGGTTCTAATCTAATATACTACCTTCTCATTAACTTTACAAGCTAAGAAACACTAATAATGCTTCTGTTTTTTGGAAACTCTATTGGATAGACACTTTTCATCTCATTGTTTTTAGGAAACTCTACTGGATAGAAAATTGTGAAGGAATCTATAATTGGTGAATGGTCATGAATATTATAGATTTATGTAGTAATTTAAAGAGCATTCTACCTCCATACATCACCTATATAAATAGTGGTGTTGGACATCAATTGAGAACATGTATCCACTTACATATCTCTATGAGTGTCTTCCATTCATATGATGATCGAAGTTTCTATATGAGGGTTTCTATAATGAGAGTTTCCTTGTACAACTTGTGTGTCCATTTTTTTACTACTTATTTTTCCCGTATCTTTCTCCTAATAATTTTCATAATTCACTACATCTTTATAATTTGCTATCGCGGTGCGAACTCGCATGTTGCTTTTCTATTAAATTTTTTCCCGCTTAAAAGTTTTGATGATGTCAATTTTTTTTGTGATTTTTCATAAGAATCTAAGTATAATCTTTCAACACTTTTATTCTACAAATTTGGAATACAACTCTTCAATTTGATTTTCAACTATCTATTTTTAATTTTCTAATTTGTCTTTGCATTAGCTCTATTTTGAGTTTGGGATTATGCATTGCGATATTGAATGATAATGTTCAAATATAATTTATTTTTAGTGATACGTAATTTATTACGTTACTTTAGCTTCGTATTAATTGAGTTTCTTTGACCAAATTTGTACAATTTCCAGTAGGTGTTGATATTAATTATTCCTTCAAAATAAAAGTTAGGAATTAATGGATATTAGGTTGTTAGTACTTTAGTGCCTTATTAATCTCTTTTTTAGGAGTATTATTAGAAATCAATTTATTTGGTGGAGTAAATCATGGCTCATGTTTATCCACTAAGTACTAGCATTATTTATTTTTTTAGTTTAAATTTGTTATTGTAGGGCAAGAGGCATCTATGTATCTCATGATTGAATGAAGTATGCAAGTATCAGTATTATATTTACTTTTTATTCCAACAATAGGATGATTGATAGTTATGAAATTTTGACTTAGTATTTTGATTTTGCATAGTCTTTACGGCTCCTGCATCAAAGGGTTTTGGTTATTCATCAATTTGGATGTTGTGTTAATTAATTTAAAGTTGGCTACATAGAAAGCATTATTGAATGTATTATTAGGATACCATTAACTACATAGACTTATGATTTTATCTATCAATTTATTATAGATGTTTAATCATTTAACAAGAAATTAAAGCTATTTATTTATACATACTTATGAAATATGAGTATAAAAATATTGTGTTAGGATTTTCACCTTCATGAACTTATACAGTAACAAATTTGAAAAGATTATTTGTATTTGTAGTTCTATACTGAATTTTTTTTTGTTAAAACCGTGCATCGCACGGGCGCACGGGACTAATCTAGTAATATAGTATGATTAAGTTTTTACGTTTGAGTTATATTTGTAACATATTTGAATCTATAGGTTTTCAATTTCTTCTTGAACTGTTTGGTCGAAACAATAAAAATAAAGTGAAATCCCTAATCTTTAAATAAATTAAATTGATAAAACCCCTCTGTTCAATTATAATCATAAACAATTCGATATTAAAAAATCAACAAATTGATTAATTGATACTAATAAAATCTAAGGTAAACTTTAATTAGACATGCGAACAAACATAATGTTCTTCTGGCATGGTGTCTCTTCCTATATACTGCCATTCTCCTTATCTTTTCCGTCGGGAGACTTGCGATTCGAGACCGGGAGACCATCATCCAAAGCATTGCCAACACCATAATGTCCATCACCAATCAATTCTTATTGTTTATTAATCTTCCTTAACATGAATTCACTATCTTGGAAAAATCCATAATCGCCCTTCGGAAACCTCTCAGAAAATTACAGTTCTTGCATTAATTTTTCATCAATGGATAGCGTTACTCTCTCTCTTTCTCTCACGGGTTGAAATTCATCATTCAAGATTCTCAGAAAGTCGAAGTATGGCTTGATTTTGTCTCTATTATTGTATAATTTGTTTATAAAACGGTTGACCCTCCCCAGTATTTGAAGAAGATATAAGAAACTTAGAAATGGATGACAAAGTAGAAACTCCTATTACAGAGGAGAGATTTCGACAATGATTCTTGTAAAGATGGAAATAAATGATCGTATTAGAGTATAAGGGAGAGAATTGATTTTATATGAAATACAAATGAGAGAATTGATTTGTATTGGAATTAAAGGGTGTCTGAAAGAGAGAAATTTTGAAAGATGCTATGTTTTTGAAAGATGATCTGTTTTTGAAAGAGTTTATAAACCTATTTGTTTTTTTTATTTGTAATTTTTGTCATTTCATGCTTGTCCACACAACAATAATAATCATAATTATAAAATTTTTAGGAAACCTAGCTAGTAAGATTAATATAACAACATACAAGAAAATATTGATTAATACATAGTATAAGTATAAAACGAAAGATTTCTCAAGACATTTTAGAGCACCACATAAGAAAATGGTAGATTGTAGTCAATGGAAAAAGAGATTTGAGAATTTTTTTAGAATTAAAAATCAGCGAAATAAAGAATTAAATTTCACAATTTATTCTATTCAATTTGTTATATTGTGCAGCAGGGGTTATTCGAGTTTCTTGGTTTGGGGTTACTCGAATTGCCGGAGTTGTTTGAGTTCCTCGGTCAGGGGTTACTCGAGTTGTCAGGGTTACTTTAGTTTTTCAGTCAGGGGTCACTCGAGTTGTCGGGGTTACTAAGAGATAATGTTACTAAAAAAAAGATAAAGGATCCGACTAGATCTCAACCATTGAGAAAAGTTACGAAGTATAAGGGTATGAGACTAAGAGCATGTTCATATTTATTGAACTGAGATGAACTAAACTGAGTGGAGATGAACTGAACTGAATTGAGCTGAAATGAATATTTTATGAGAGAAGAAAATTAAGAACTGAACTGAACTGATTGGAGCTGAATTAAACTGAACTGAATTGAAAATTAAGCTGAAATGAATAGGCCCTAAGAGATCCATCCTTAAATTATTGTATATAACCATCTTAAAGTTAGAACTTGGAAATTTTGTATAGAACTACCCTAGAGATAGGGTCATTTGTAAACAACTACCAATTTCTTTTTTAAAATTTGTTCAGAACTACACGCAAGTTTGGAAACGTTTTGTTAGCACTACCCACTAACGTTTTTCGTCCAATTAAAATGTTATTTTGGCCAAAATTTTCACTTTTATCAATTACAATGGTCAATTAATGCTAAAATTAGCAAAAACCCCTAAATAATACTAAACTCATGGATTCTAATTAAAAATGCTAATTAGGTTAATTAAGGTAAATTAAAACCTTTATACAAATTGAGAGAGTTAATTGGATGACAAAGATGAAAAAGTGGGCTCCGATAATGTCTTAATTGGACGGAAAATGTTAATGGGTAATGCTATCCAAATGTTTTCAAACTTATGGATAGTTCTAAACAAATAAAAAAAAAATAGATAGTTGTTCACAAATAATCCTATATTTAGAGTAATTCTACACAAAATTTCCTTAAAACTTAAAAAGGTTTTTTTAACTAGAAAATGAACACTAATTTGGTCGATAATTCATTTCCATGGTTGAATCAAACGCCTTGCAAGTATAGGGGTATAAGGAGTTTTGGCGGTGACATTCCTGTATCTGAAATAAAATCCTCTTTACCTCTCTAATCTCATCAACCAACCAAACACACCTTCATCATCTTAATCCGCCATTTCTACAACCTTCAAATCTCCATCTTCCCCAAATCGCAACAATGTCTCTCAATCTTCGCCAGAAACAAACAGGTCTATAAATCCCCCTTCTTACAAATCAAAACCCTAAAAACTCATTTTCCAACTTCAATTTCATTTCAATTCAATCTGATTTCTACTAACCATCTTCAAATCTTAATCGAATTTTGTGTTTATTTTGCAGAATGTATAATCAGAATGTTGAATCTGAATCAACCAGTGAATTCATCAACAGGAATGGCAAACGAAGAAGTATACAAGATCTTGATCTACGACAAATCTTCTCAAGATATTCTCTCTCCTCTAATCCATGTCAAAGACTTACGTAAGCATGGCGTCACTCTCTTCTTCCTCATCGACAAACCTCGGAAACCTATCCCCGATGTTCCCGCCGTTTACTTCATCCGCCCAACTCCGGCCAACATTCAACGCGTCGTTTCGGATGCTGCTGTACCTCTATACGATACGTTTCATCTCAACTTCTCGTCTTCGATTCCTCGGCCTTTGTTGGAGGATCTAGCTTCTGGGCTTCTCAAATCAAACGACGCCGTTTCTAGGGTTTCTAAGGTACATGATCAGTATTTGGATTTTGTTACTTTAGAGGATAACCTGTTTTCGCTTGCTTATAGTAATTGTTATGTGCAATTGAATGATCCTAAAGCTGAACAAAGAGAAATTGAGGAAATTATTGAGAAAGTTGTTGATGGGTTGTTCTGTGTTTTGGCTACATTGTCTGTGGTGCCGATTATTCGGTGTCCGCAAGGCGGGGCTGCTGAAATGGTGGCGTCTGCCTTAGATCAGAGGCTTAGGGACCATTTGTTGGCTAAGAATAATTTGTTTAGTGAAGGTGGGAACTTTGCCTCGTCGTTTCAGAGGCCGGTTTTGTGTTTATTTGATAGGAATTTTGAGTTGGCTATGGGGATTCAGCATGATTTTAGGTATAAACCGCTTGTTCATGATGTGCTTGGATTGAGGCTTAATAGGGTGAGTGTGCAAGGAGAGAAGGGAGGGAATAAGTCGTTTGAGCTAGATGGGTCGGATCCGTTTTGGGTGGCAAATGGAGGGTTGGAGTTTCCGGAGGTGGCAGTTGAGATTGAGACTCAGTTGACAAAGTATAAGAAGGATGTGGATGATGTGAATAGGAGGACTGGTGGCACTAGTGGGGCGGAGTTTGATGGGACGGATTTGATTGGGAACACAAAGCATTTGATGAGTGCTGTTAACTCGCTGCCTGAGTTGACAGAGAGGAAGCAAGTGATTGATAAGCACACTAATATTGCAACCGTGTTGTTGGGTGAGATTAAGGAGAGGTCCCTCGATTCTTATGCCAAAAAAGAGTATGATATGATGGTTAGGGGTAGTATTGATATGAATGAGTTGATGGGTGTGTTTAAAGGGAAGGGTTCCAAGATGGATAAGCTCCGTTTTGCTATCATGTATCTTATTTCTTTGGAGACTGTTCCACAATCTGAAGCAGAAATGGTGGAAACGGCACTCAGAGAAGCTGAGGTTGATACTAGTGCATTTCAGTATGTAAAAAAGATAAAGTCATTGAATGTTCCTTTGACTTCTGCTAGTGCGGCAAGCAGAGGTAACATAGTAGACTGGGCTGGAAATCTTTTGGCTGCTGGTATGAAGAATCTTTTGGCAGGTGATCGGCAGCTGGCATTGGCAAGGATAGTTGAAGCTTTGATGGAAGGGCGACCTAACCCAGAGGTTGACTCCTATGTGATGTTTGATCCTCGAGCTCCTAAGTCTAGTTCTGGTAGCCATCTTAGAGGACCATTTAAGGAGGCTATTGTGTTTATGATTGGGGGAGGGAATTACGTGGAACATGCAAGCCTACAAGAGCTTGTGTCCCGTCAGCAGCCAGCCAAGCATATTATATACGGAACTACAGAAATTCTCACTGGGGCAGAGTTTGTTGATCAACTTGCCTTACTTGGAAAGAAGATGGGATTGGGAGTTAATCCTGTGCCTTCAGCTCATTGATAAGTGTGAGGAGTTCATTTGCTCTTCTGGAAATTGGCGGACTTGTTTGGCATCTATTATATATAGAACAACAGAAATTCTCACTGGGGCAGAGTTTGTTGATCAACTTGCCTTACTTGGAAAGAAGATGGGATTGGGAGCTAATCCTGTGCCTTCAGCTCATTGATAAGTGTGAGGAATACATTTGCTCTTCTGAAAATTGGCGGACTTGGTTGGCATCTATTCCCATCCTTTGTGCAGGGAAGTCAAACTAAGCTAGAATACTTTTGATTTCTGAAGCATCAGTCATAATTGAATACAGTGATATTTTGAAGATGTATCGAAATAGTTATATAGTTTGCAAAAGTGAGTAAATTTTTGCTCCTGAATACTTTTCAAGTTTTCATATTTAATCTCTTTTGATGTATATGTGTGCTGAACATGTCATTGTTTTTTCTTCTAGCATCTTTTTATAATATTCATGTATTCTTTACATTTGGAATTCGTCTTGATTCAAGTAATCTTCAGTAAACGACTTCTAGCTTTTAAGGTGATTGTTATTTTATTTTTGAACTTGTTAATATTTGCAACTTTATGAAGTTCTGTTGGGATATTCTGCATGTTTTTGTTTTCATGTTATATCTTATATGGTGTTACAGCTGCATTCTTGCAACCTTTGTTGTGATGTTTTTGTGTGTACATCTACAAAAGAGTGTTTTCGTGGTCTTGCTGCCAGTAATGTTGCATCTGTTATTTTTCTTTTTAGATTGTAGATCTGAATGTACATCAGTCCATGCTTCTTTGACCGAGCATCTTACTTAGTAGAGGCTTCTTATGACTTTGGACCCCTTTTGGCTGTAATTTTGGTGACAGCTTCGATTCAGGTTTTAGAGTTCTATGATAATTGTTGAAGGCTTTACTTAGGTTAGTATCCATCATTTCTGCTGTCAATACTTTGAGTGTTGCAGCAGAAACAAATTAGCAGGAAAATGTGAGTTTGAGGCTTAATTGAAAGGTAAAGCCTTTTCATATAGGTATGTAGTAGTTTGATTTTCTGCAGGAGACGTAGTTTTCTCATCTCTGTATGTTCTGTTATAATGCTGATGCTTAGTTAAATGTATGCACTTGCAAAGTTGCAAGCATGTTATTACTGTTGATCAGGGTTATGCTGTTGTTTACCTGTTGGCGAGGGTAGTCAGGGCTTTCTCCTATCTAATAAGCTCCGAAAGATTAAGGCGGTTTTCCTCCCAAAATATACAACTGCTTCTAGGTGGTAACAGGTAGATAGGCAGAGCTACTATCTGCTTAACATCTCTCTGCAGTGAAGTGATAGTATAGATGCCTCTAAAACTGGTACTGCACAAGAAGCTATGTAGATAACAGTTCGTGAAGCAAGCCGGGCTCTCACAGAGCAAGAAGTAAGACAAATTCTTGCAGTCCTTGAAAATGCTGCTAGGGAAGAAATTGTGAAAAGTCAGTGTTCTTTCACTTTTTAAACAATGTATTTATAGAAAGGCAGACGTGATTTTTAAGTTTTAGTTTTTCTGTTGCATAGATCTCCTTGTCATGATATCTTTGATTTGTGCAGAAATACGATATTTTATTTGAGGGGAATGCTAAGCAAGCTAAGGGAGCTTTTACCTTTAATCAAAGGTTCATAGAGCAAAGGAACAGCTGGAGATTCTACGTTTATATTTTCAGTTTTAGCTTGAGCTTGAATCAAGTTACAGAGTATGAATTAATGGTTTGAGTCAAGCTTTCATTTCCAACTAGAACAAGGCTCGAGGTCGAGTTTTAATTGGAATTGAAGTGAACTTAGCTTAGAATTTAAATCATTGCTTATATTAATCCCTTTTGGAAATTGTTATGTGAATATGAAAGTTAAATCTTGTTCCTTATACATGAATTATTGATATTGTAGATTTTACACTTGGAGTAAGTACCATTTTCCCTTCTTGTAAAAAAAAAAGGGTACCATTTTCCTTTTGTTATGAAGTATCTATTGTACTATGCAATTTCTTGAGATACCTAGCTGGCATGGAAAGTTTTGATATTGAATTGGATGAGGAACAATGATGATTCTTCGATTAGCCCATCATCGAAGGATTGGTTGCTAATTAAGACTCTACAAAGAACTGGAAAAACAAGGGATCAGCTTACCCAGAAGGAAATAGGAAGTACAAAGAAAGGAAGGAAAAAAAAAAACGCAAAGGAAAAGGGGAAGGACTGGTAAAGATTGTTATAGAATGTACGAGCTCAACTTTGTGAAGGATCGGATTACGATTGATAATCAATTTATTTATGATTTGGAAGAGATGTATGATGTATGACGTATGACGTTTGAGAATAATTGCTGAATTGTTAATCCTCTAAATTTAGTTTCATTATTTTCAAATTAAAAGAAATTTTGATTTAAAGACACCGAAAATTCCCCCAAATGCTAGAAAACCTTCTCCTCCTTTGGCCCTCTCTTTACTTTGGTACACTTTGTTTCCTTTGAACAAAATTAAACACAAACCTTTGTCCCTTTAATTTGTTAAACATTTTTTCCTTCAAACAAAATAAAACATAAAATCTTTGAATAAAAATGACGCAAAATATAAAAACCTAAGTTTTGCCAACTCTTATTTCATCAACAAATAATCTATAGACTATAATTCCCAACCAAAAGAATACAGTTTTACCAATCATATTTTTAATTGAGTCAAGTTACACTTTTGGTCAGCTCTTTAAAAACAAACTGAATATGAATTGGACCGGGCCGGGTTTGGTAAGACCCAACCCTTAACCAACATGAAGAGCCCTCATTTCATTTGAATGTGACCTCATTTCATTTCAGAATAAATAAAATTCTGTGACCTCTATCTCTCTCCTTTTTCCAGCTCTTCACACATACATATTCTCCTTTTTCTCTGTAATTCTCCGACAAAAACTCCATTAAAATTCAATCAAAAAAACTCAAACCCAGAAAAAATGTCTCGAAGACAATCCCTCCAAATCCTTAAAAAATTCATACCCTCCAGTACCCGATCCGTAACCTACATGCCCCGACCCGGCGACGGTTCAACCCGAAAAGTGACCCTAATTCCGGGCGACGGAATCGGACCTTTGGTTACGGGCGCAGTCGAACAAGTTATGGATGCAATGCACGCGCCAATCGTGTTCGACAAGTACGAGGTTCATGGTGATATGAAGAAGATTCCAGAAGGTGTTCTTGAATCAATTCGAGAGAATAAGGTTTGTATCAAAGGTGGGTTGATGACACCTGTCGGTGGTGGGGTTAGTTCGTTGAATGTTCATCTGAGAAAGGAGCTTGATCTTTACGCTTCATTGGTTCATTGTTTTAATGTCAAAGGTATTCAAACTAGACATGATAATGTTGATATTGTTGTTATTAGAGAGAATTCTGAAGGGGAGTATGCTGGTTTAGAGCATGAGGTTGTTCCTGGTGTTGTTGAGAGTCTCAAGGTAAAATTGGATTATTTTTGTTTAATTACTGCTATTATTATTATTTTAATTTAATGTGTGGAATTATTGTTAGTTTGTCAGATTAATATTCTTTTATGCATAATTTTATGATAAGTGTATTATAAATTTATAATGCTTTGTACTTTCACATAGATTGATAGTTTACAATTATCATGCTTAATGAATTACTGTATTATTTATGATTAATGTATTATAATGGTTTGTACTTGTACATAGATTGAGGATTTATAATTGTTATGCTTTATGCATTATTTATAATTGTATTGATAAAGTATAAAACTCTTGCTACTACATTGCCCTTGTAAATCTATGTTCATTTTTTGTTTGGTGATTTACTTTCATATATCTCATTTTCATTGTAACAATTCATGTATTAGTAACAGCAATTAATGATTTGTTGTGTTTGTAAAAATAGTGTCTCTTAAGGTTGTTAATTAAGAATTACAGAGAAGGTAATTGAGGGAGATTTATGATCAGGGATGATGAGATTAAACCTATTGTGGAGGATTGATTATACTGGATTCATCATACCATTAATTTTACTAATACGGTTACACAAGTGCCACTTGGCTCGAGGAATGCCTTTAGTTGGGAAAGTGGGGGTGGGTTAGGGGGTTAAGAGTTTAGCGTAACTTCTGTATATGCATTAAGCCATTGGGAATTTGGAATGACATGATAATATTTTAAGAAAGAAGGATGAGTTGGAAGCGAGACTATTGATTTTCCCCTGTGAATTTTGGAGAATGACATGATGGTTATGTGCCTGATTCGAGGTGTGCAAGACTGGAATTCAGTTACTGTTAAAAGATATGTTGGTTTCTGTAGTGACTAATGGTATCTTGGAAATGATATGTATGCCCATCAGTGACTTATGGTCTGACTTTTGACTATTTTTGAAGGTATGCTATGGATATATAGATGCTAATATGTCTATTAGGAGGAAGAAGGATCATATTCTTTTTATTACTCCTTTTTTAGGGATGTTAGACCAAATTTCTTTTGTTTTCTTTATTTTCTTTGTAACATTTCTATGTCCTACTGTGGCTTTGAGGTTTTGAAACTAGTTTCTGTTTTGTTGGTAAACCAACAACATGGTGCAATGATAACCATCTTGTGTTGTCAGTGTAAGTTAGCTAGTATGTACTATCAACCATAAACCCCCCCTGCCCCCAATTCATACTGTATTTTTTGAAAGAAACCGTCCAACTGAAAGCACTTGAAATCTAATAGGTGTTGACTGTTAAATGAGGGGAGTGCCGGACGGTTAATGTGGTTTTCTTCTGGTATTCTTTGCAAATCTCCTTGTTCTGTTCCATCATTGGAGCTATACTACACTCAAGTGTACCTTAATACTTCTACAGTGTCATTACTTGAGCCATTCGTTATGTTACGAGTACAGCATGGCTCTTATTCGACCCATTACTGACAATGCAATGAGTATGCTACTGTTGTTTAATTTTGCCTTGATGCTAACTAGGGCTTGTATATATGTCTAGATTTAATGATTATGAGATTTCTGTGTGGTTTTTAATGACATAAAAGCTAAAGCCAAAAGCTTTACCCGAATGAATGTATTCACCTATCTAAGTCTGGAGTATGTGGCCATTGTGGTAGCTAAGGAGCAATGCTCTTATAACTGGTAAAGATGGTCTCCAATACCAGTCGACATATTTCTTTGCTAGGCCATGGGGGTAGTAATGCGTGTTTTGGGTATATCTGGGGCTTAGTTTGGGACTTTGGGTCCTTTGGATGTGGATTCTAGTAATGCCTAGCGAAGAGAGAGGATAGTTCCAAGAGAGACTTTGGAGCTTGAGGTGGGCTCTTGAGTTTGCTGAGATCAAGTTTAGAGTTGGTTGATGTGGTGTGGGAAAGGTTGGTATTTGAAGAATTCTTTTTCAAATTTTGGGTCATTAGTTGTCTCTCTGTAGCCTTTACAATACAGTTGTTGAAAGAATTCAAAAGGCCTTAAAGTAAAACTTCAAAGGAAACACAAAGGAACATACATGAATGCTCGGTGTCTTGTATCTGTACATCAAACTATTCTTCTAGAGCTCTATATCAATTTGGTTTATGTTGGCCTCTTTTTATATTATCTCTTGCTATCTTTGTATGTGCTTCTAAATGTCTGCAGATCTATCTCATCTTTGCAATGTGAAGTCATTTGTATTGCCCTGTAAGGGCTGTCAGGAAAAAAAAAAAAAAAGAACTCATTTCTTTTGCAATTGACATTATGCTACTAGTTCTGTTTGAAACGCATAGTCATTGTGTTGCTGATAGTTGGCTTTCTATTGTACTAGGTGATAACAAAGTTCTGCTCTGAACGCATTGCAAAGTATGCATTTGAATATGCTTACTTGAACAACAGAAAGAAAGTGACTGCTGTGCATAAAGCCAACATCATGAAACTTGCAGACGGGCTTTTCTTAGAATCTTGCCGGGAGATTGCAGCACAGTACCCTACCATTGAGTATAATGAGATCATTGTGGACAACTGCTGCATGCAGCTTGTGTCGAGGCCTGAGCAATTTGATGTGATGGTATATATCCTAATTCCTATTTCTTCTCTTCCTCGTGACTATATCCTTTAATATCATGTAATATACCCTGACTACTCATATAGTCACATTTTCATATGCTTTTGTGAAAATAGACAGTGGCAATCTGATAATACATTTTCTGATGAGGTCTGTTGTGTTTTACATTTGACAGGTTACGCCAAACTTATATGGTAATCTCGTGTCTAATGTTGCTGCTGGTATTGCTGGAGGAACTGGGGTCATGCCAGGAGGTATTGTCCTTTAACCTTTGCAACCTCACTATTTTTCAGTTTCCTTTTGTTCATTAAATTTGCGTGTCATAAGAACTCTTAACTTTATATTGGTCTGTGCCATATCCGAAGTATATGCTTTTGGTCCTGTTTTCTTTAACTTAAAAACACCTCACTAAAAATAAGTTTGAATCTTAATTATATTGAAATCAGCTTTAACGAGTGAAGCTAATTGCTCATGACAAAACATGAATGGATCAGCCCCAAAAATAAAAATAAAAATAAAAATGTAGAAACCAGTATAATAGAGGGCAGGGCTTTTGTTACGGTTGCTGCATATGATCATATCCCACATTGGGTATCTATCCTTTGTATGTTGGAACTTTGAACATTTAACATAGTTACTGTAGTGTAAACCTTTATTTGAGTGGAATTATTGATCTTAGATTAAAGCATACTCATTGATATAGAAGCCTTTCCAAAATTTTGAGCATCTAATAAGCTGGATGAACTTTAGGTAACGTCGGTCCTGAGCATGCTGTATTCGAGCAAGGTGCTTCAGCTGGAAATGTAGGGAAGATAGAATTGGTGGAGCAAAAGAAGGCAAATCCTGTTGCTCTGCTTCTCTCTTCAGCCATGATGTTGAGGCACCTTCAGTTCCCTTCATTTGCAGATCGATTAGAGACTGCCGTGCAGCATGTAATTGAAGAGGGAAAGTACAGAACCAAGGATCTTGGTGGTAATAGTACTACTCAACAAGTTGTTGATGCCGTTTTAGCCAATCTGGATTGATGATATCTACTGACATGTCCTTACCATACTGCACATTGTTTCGGTCGTTTCTTTGCAACATAACAAGTGATTATTTTGGGGGAGATAATTCTCTCCTTGGCAGAGTTTCCCTTTTTGAAACTTTTTTGGGTATGGGAAATTTTTTTTTCAACTTTCCTTTATCAGCTACTAGTTTTGCATTCTTTTAGAATTGAGGATTCATTATACCAAATCTTTGTTATGATTACACTGAAACTACTTCAGTAATAAATTTTAATTCAGTGTTTATTTTAAAGATCAACAGCAAAAACTAAAGGGTATCAGGCTAGAACTCTTTTTCCTCAATAGATATGACATTGGTTATGAATCTTATGTTGAATTAATTAATATGTTGTCATCATATATCATCAATATTTTGGGATTGTAACGTGATGAATCGACCTTTTAAATGATATACAGTATTATCAACCCGTTATCGTAAACCTTAACAAACCAGGCAATATTACAAATTTACAATGTGGCATGCTACGAGTACAAAATACAAATTAAGAATAACAACTAAGAACGTTTAATGACCAGAATAATTTGAGAGTAAAAAGGAGTCTACTACTTCTGGTCCAAATTACTCGTAACTTTGGGGTATTATTTGTTCAAAGTTATAAGTAATTTGGACTGGGGATAGTAAAAGAAATGATGTTAAAAAAAAAAAAAAAAATTGTGTAAAATAGTGTTGCTGCCCAGGATCGAACTGGGGACCTTTAGTGTGTAAGACTAACGTGATAACCACTACACCACAGCAACCCTTTTGTTAAATTTGTGCAAACAATTTTCATGACCTCAAAATGTTAATATGCATTTAATTTATAATTAGAATCTCCAAGTCAATAATCTACCGTCAACTCCTTGATTTTATTTTATTTTGTGTTGTATATTTTATAATTGGAAACCTTTCTGCTATACTTGAGCATGACAATCCAAGCTAGCACAATGTTGACTATTCTTGATCACATAATAAATCTGATCTTATTACATAATGTCATAAAATCTATAGCTCTTACATTAACCAAGATCTGTCTGATCATCTTAATCTGTTTCATATTCATGTGTCATTTGATTTTGATAAATCGTATTTTGCTACAAATCTTCCAAGAATCCACTAATTTATCTTGGGTAATGATCATGTTCTTGTTCAAATCTCTAAAAACTATATAAGGGGGGGTTCTCTTATGATCATATAATTCATCAAAAAAACTAATTACATACATTAAGCTGCTAATAGCCTAATAATTCAAGCATTTTCTAGGAAAAGTGTTACAATAAAAATGTGGCCAACTATGAGTTTATATGTTGCAACAATAGTAGCAATATGTTTTATTTTCTTGGTATTAAAAAGGAGGAATTCAAGAGAAAAACAATTTGTTCTACCTCCAGGGTCTAAAGGCTTCCCTCTTATAGGAGAAACCCTTCAACTCCTTGTCCCTACTTACTCCCTAGACCTTCCCTCGTTCATTCGAACCAGAATTCTAAGGTATGGGCCTATATTCCAAACGCGACTTGTTGGAAGGCCGGTTGTGATGTCTGCTGATCCAGGCTTCAACCGGTACATTGTGCAACAAGAAGGGAAGTCAGTTGAAATGTGGTACTTAGACACATTCTCTAAGTTATTTGCACAAGATGGCGAAGCTAGGACTACTGCTGCTGGCCTAGTGCATAAATACCTTAGAAACCTTACTTTGAGCCATTTTGGCTCTGAAAGCCTTAGGGTAAATTTGCTCCCTCACCTTGAAAGTTTGGTTCGAAACACTTTACTTGGATGGTCGTCTAAGGATACCATTGATGTCAAAGAATCCGCGTTAACTGTACAATTCTTCCCTTTTTTTTTTAATCTTTTGTGTGCTAACTTACATAAGCATATATGATTTACTTTGGACTGATTAAATTGTTTTGGTTTATCTTTTATGCGAATGAAGATGAGTATAGAGTTTGTAGCAAAACAATTATTTGGGTATGTTTCTGACAAGAGCAAGGAGAAAATAGGGGAGAAATTTGGTAATATTTCACAAGGCCTTTTCTCTTTACCATTGAACATTCCTGGCACTACTTACCATAGCTGCTTAAAGGTATCCCAATCACGCGATTTTGCTACTTAGGCCATGTTCTCTTCACCTAATTTTTACTGAACTAACATTTTTACTGTTGTTCTGAAATGTTGTATGTACATACTCTGATCAGAGCCAAAGAGAAGTAATGGATATGATGAGGACCGCTCTAAAGGAGAGGCTCGCTGCACCTGAGTCATATCGAGGGGATTTCCTAGATCATGCTCTGAAAGACCTCAGCACCGAGAAGTTCTTGAGCGAGGAATTTATACTACAGATTATGTTTGGGCTCCTCTTTGCTAGCTCTGAATCTACCTCCATGACATTAACTTTAGTCCTCAAATTCTTGTCAGAAAATCCTCATGTCCTGAAAGAAATAGAGGTTTGTTTAGTTCAGATGTCATCTATAAAGTTCGAATTCTTTTCTTATGCTTTCCTAATTACGAGTAATTTTCCTTAAACAGGCTGAGCATGAGAAAATCATCATGAACAGAGAAAGCCCTGATTCTCCCCTGACTTGGGCTGAAGTGAAATCAATGACTTTCACTCTTCAAGTAAATTATACTATACTCTTATATATGCATAATTAGTCCTCTTAAAAGACCATAAAATAAAGGGTGTTATAAAATGTCATGTTTAATTTATTGTATACTTCGGATGCAGGTGATTAATGAATCTTTGAGACTTGGAAATGTTTCTCTTGGAGTACTCAGGAGAACATTGAAAGATATCGAAATAAATGGTACACATATTAGCATTTCATATTATATATTTGCGCTACTTCCTTCACAATTTTAGAGTTGATCATGAGTCAAGTCGCGGGGATCATAAAGTGGCAGCTCAAATGCTCAATTCATTATAAACTTATGATCACAATATGTAAAACCTTCCAAATTAGTGCAATAAACTCAACATGTACATTAATTACTTTGCAGGATATACTATTCCAGCAGGATGGACTGTTATGTTGGTGACTTCTGCATGTCAATATAATTCTGACATATACAAAGATCCACTTACCTTTAATCCTTGGCGCTGGAAGGTTAGTTGCCTATAAATTTACTAATTTTATTTCTAAGTACATAATAATTATCATAAGCTGATCAAACATTAATTACTCGAGTTTATCTTGTAATCATGTGTTAATAACAGGAAATGCAGCCTGATGTTATAGCAAAAAATTTTATGCCATTCGGAGGAGGAACAAGGCAATGTGCAGGAGCAGAATTTGCTAAAGTCTTAATGACTATTTTTCTTCATAACCTTGTCACTAATTACAGGTAATTTGATCTTTAATAGATTGTTTTTTCTTCTTTTCGTTTTTGGTGGACTTATCTTCGGGGGCTTTGTATGAACAGATGGGAGAGGATCAAAGGTGGAGAAATCGTTCGAACTCCCATTTTAGGATTCCAAAATTCTCTTCATGTTAAGTTAACTAAGAAGAATTAAGCTTAAGAAGATCAAAGCCTTAGTTATTTTGTTCCGAATACTCTGTAACTGATACAAGAAATGTTGTTTTCTTTGTTGGAGATTGTTTTGATATAGTTGTTAATTTGTACTTCTACTTCAATGCAAAAATTGTTTTCCTCCTATTCATCTTACTCTCAACAAAGTACTCTTGTTGACTATTAAATGAGGGCTGCCCAGTTTATCTCTTTTGATTGACGGAGTTTGTAAATCTTGTGTGACAAGTCAGCATTTGAGATTAGTCAGCTCAGGAAAAGTACACATAGGCCAACGGAAACGACCACGTTGGCTAGCAACATGTAGGATAATTTTATAATTTGACCAATGTATCAAATCAGCTCGTGTTCAGGTAGAAATCGTATATTATATTATGTTACTTTGTATATTAGAGATGGTTAACTCTATCCTTATTGACAAATAAATATGATGTAAAAGTAACTAATCAATGTGTTTTTATCACATACAAGAAAATGATAATTGATTGGTTTAATTTGATATATAAAAATCTATAATAAGAAGTGATGTTACAAATTGTATGGTTTAATTTATATTAATGACGCAGGTGATTGAAGTAGATTTTGTGATATTGTGTGTGGGACGATTCAGCGATCCCCTGCCTTTAGCTTCTTTGAAAAGGGTGTTGAACTCGACGATAGTATTAAATCGACGGAGCCTATTACGAGTGACTTGGTTATTTTTGCTACGGGATACAAGGGTGATCAAAAGCTCAAAGACATTTTTGCTTCTTCCGAATTTAAGGATTACATGTTTGGCTCCTCCAATAAAACGCTTTCATTATACAGGTTCGTTATCTTAAGCTACATACATTAGTTTATTGAAGCTTATAATGTACTTGGTACTTATTTACGTTGTGAACTTGTAGGGAATGTATCCATCCACGGATTCCACAACTTGGAGTGATTGGATTTTCTGAGAGCTTAGCAAACTTGTACACTTCAGAAATAAGATGTCGTTGGTTATTCGAGCTACTCGATGGCAAATTCAAATTGCCAAGTATTGAAGAAATGGAGAAAGATGTTATAGAATGGGAGAAATTTATGAAGAGGTACTCAGGCAAGTATTATAGAGGATCTTGCCTTGGAGCTTTGCATATTTATTACAATGATCAGCTTTGCATTGACATGGGCTTCAACCCAAAGAGAAAGGACGGATATTGGGCTGAGTTGTTCGAGCCATACGGCCCAATGGACTATGCTTAAATTATTTTACCGTGTTAATTAGAAGGCATATATATGTTGTATTCTATGTATTATGGTAAGCTAATGTAATGTATTTGCTTATTTAAAGCCTATTTAAAGTCCATCCATATTATGCATGTACGTATTTTATTCTTATATACGTAATTATGATGATTGTGAACAAGAAGGCGTGTTTCTTCCTTGCTCTTATTTCAAGGGAGATACATATATATGGTATGGAGGAGAATACAAAGGGGAAAATTATGATATGATGGACATAAGGAACTTATGATGAATTGAAGAGATTCTTACACATAAATTAAACAGGATCTTAATAAATAGTGTAATAAGAACTACTTCGTATAAATATTTTGTTGCAACCTCATTAGAAGTGTTTTTTTTTTTAAATATAAAAAATAAAATAAAAGGTACTGGAGTAGTAATGAATTTTTATTGAACAAAGAATAATATAAAGTACAAATGTACAAAACAAACACCCTAGGGAGGGATTTACCTTCTAGGAATGCCTTCCCAATACCTGGGGTTTAGAAAAAGCATTTCATGTTTAACAAAACATAACAATTAGTTTAAAGCTAATAAAATCAAATTGCATTCTACTGAATATATCTTCTAAACCTAATTTTAGGAATTCTTGAATCAAATTATGGAATTAGGTCTTCGCATCAAAATTATTCATCCTTTTGAAACTTAAAAGTGAAAAAGATGTTGAAATAACGTGATAACTGATTCTAGTTGTAGTGAGTACTGATTATTTGAATGTGACTTTTATTTGTACGTACAAACAGAGATGGGGAATAAGCAAATTCGTGGAGAATGATATAAAGAAAAAGCAACCTATCAAGAAATATGACATGGTACCCGATCATAGCTTCTTACAAGCGATGAATTCTTGTTCAGTTGTTACAACCCCAGAAGGATTTTATGACAATGTTGAGAAAGGAAGCATTATTTTGAAAAGATCTCCAACTTTTACATTTCACAAAGAAGGTGTTTTACTTTGTGATGGTAGTGTTAAACCTACCAAATCTATTAAAAGTGACTTGGTTATTTTTGCTACTGGATTTAAAGGGGATCAAAAGCTTAGAGATATCTTTGCATCTATCAAATTTCAGAAATACTTTACCAACCCTATTAATGAGACAGTTGTTCCATTATAGCGGTTAGTAATCATTTTACTAGTTTCTTAAATTTATTTGTAATGAGTCAAACTTCTTCCGTTTCTTTTTAAGAATCAGATGTGACATATTGGTTTATGTTGTCATGCTCGTGTAGGGAATGCATCCATCCCCAAATTCCACAACTTGCGGTGCTAGGATTTTCGGAGAGCTTTGCAAACTTGTACACTTCAGAAATAAGCTGTCGTTGGTTATTTGAACTACTTGATGGAAAATTTAAATTGCCAAATATTCAAGAAATGGAGAAAGAACTTTCAATATTTAACAAGTCCATGAAATTGTACTCTTCCAAGTACTACGGAAGGCCATGCATTGGAGCGTTACATATTTGGTACAATGATCTGCTTTGCAAGGACATGGGCTTAAACCCAAACCGAAAGAAAGGGTTTTGGGCCGAGTTATTTGAGCCATATGGCCCAATGGACTATGCTTAACTTTTATGACGTTTTCCAATGATTCATAAGATGTATGCCTTACTTTTATAAGTTTTCTTCTTATGAATTTTTCCCCTTTCTTGCGTTGAAGTGAGAATAATGTAATGGTTGATATCCTAATTGCAATTTTTATGTGAATTTTAACGATGTAGCCACCACGTGTATAACACGCACTGATAAGTATGGTACATGTAAACATATTAGTCCATTCACACCTTCATACATGGACAACATGGTGCATATGCCAATTGTTGGTTGCTTGTGCACTATAATGTAGGGTGCAAAAGGCCTAACGTAGGTACAATCATGTATACTTGCACCTTCCATGAATGCTGTACCCAACATACAAAATCAACAATGAGAATCCGCACACATCGCATGCTTCTTATTATAACTTTAAATGTCCCCTTTTGGAAATTCATCATATCATATTCTCTAGCTAAAGACGCGGATTGTTGATTGGCTCCAAATTATAAAATAAATAGATAAGACAATCTACATATAATATAATCAATAAATCATCTTCTATATTCTATATAGCCGACTAATTACTATAAATCGTAATATATAAAAATATGAGACAATCTTTAAATAATAAAGGGAGTAACGATTTAGAGATTAGAGAAAGACGTGCATTTGTGTTCTTTATAAACAATTGTATAATTAAAATTAATGGAAGCATGTGAGACGTGGACTTTCTTATTTTATCGGCATCGTTGTGCGGCAGTACTGGCAACAGCTTCCAATTTTGTTTTATTATATCAATCAAAGCTTCCAATTTCCAATAACTAACTTAACAATGATATCATAATTGGGATCAGAATTATGTGCCTCATCATAACATAACAGATCATATATATAATTCAACTTTAAGGCATGGAAAAAGGAGACTAGTAATAATACAATAAATATATGTATTTGTCAAACATACCTGAAAAATAGGTACCAGTAATACAATGAAAGCTTTGATGATAAACTATTAAAGTAGTCTTGCTCAATTTGATCATACATTATCTTAATTACATACGAAGAAGTACATATAAGTAAGCAAGGAGTAATTAATTATGTTTGGTTGTGTAAATCTTCTTAGTTTGGAGACATCTCAGCCACTCATTCATATTTGTGAGAATGAAATCATGATGAGAAAAAGAAAAAATGTTAAAACTTGACGTATAAATCCTGTAACAAAGGGAATACGCACACCTAAAAAACTTAGGTAGCAAAAGTACAATTCAGTTATCACTGCATTTGAAAATTATTTTCATTTCATAAGATAAAACTAAGGGTAGTTATATGTACTATACTACTATGTAGACAATTAGTTAAAGGGATGTATGTATATAAACATTCTATTCCATAATAATACACTTTCTATTAAATTCATAGCGAACATAATTACATGTCGATCTGTGTAATCAGTAATTAATTAAACTCCATAATTTCAATGTAACTTCTTATACATAGCATTGAACTGAGACCTACTATGTCCGGTCATTTAATTTGCTCATTCAATTAACAAATGAGTAAAATTATTAATACTCATTTGTTGATTAAGTAAACAAATGACTTTGGATGTATGATACATTCGGGTGTATACAACAATTTCTACATGAACAAGGTTGCACATCCACAAGTCGACAAGTGCATAATCAGGTAGACATATACGGATAAGAAACAACCCGGTCCGCAATATATTAATTCTGGTAATAGAGGATATAGGTAATACTAATTAATACAGAGTAGTACGTATCAATTTCCTTTTTAAAAAAACACAAATCTGTTTTGGACTTTTGGAGATATTTCGCGCAACATTTGAAGAGAATCCCTATAAATAAGGGGTAAGAAATTGAGAAAAAATAAACTACTAAACAATGGAAAGGAAAGTAGGCATAATTGGAGCAGGCATAAGTGGGCTTTTAGCATGCAAATATGCACTTGCTAAAGGTTACCACCCCTTAGTTTTTGAGTCAAGAAACACAATTGGTGGTGTTTGGACTCAAACTGTAGAAACTACTAAACTTCAAACTCCTAAACCACTTTATCAGTTCACTGATTTTGCTTGGCCTTCTTCAGTTGAAACTGTGTTTCCTGATCAAAATCAAGTTTTTGATTATCTTCAATCTTATGCTAATCACTTTGATTTGCTTAAGCACATCAAATTTAATACAAAAGTTGTGAGTATTAAGTATGAAGGTCCATCTGATGAAGAGATCCAATCTTGGGCTCTTTGGGGTGGTAATAATGATCCATTTGGTAATTTGGGTAAATGGGTTGTCACCACCCAACATCTTCTCAATCAAACTATTGAGGTATTATTTACTTTCTTCTTTTAGGTTTTTTTTTTAATTTTTTTTTATTTATACTTGTATATATATATATATATATATATATATTTTTTTTCTATTTTCAAAGTAATGGCACTTTTTTCTCCTTTTTATCATATTTTTTGTCTCCCACTTTCAACATTAGTAGCATTTTTTTTTATTTAGGCAATCAACATTGAGACAATACAAGTTCATCTACTTTATAAACAAAATATATTTATCAAATAGCAAAATTGTAAATAAATTAACTTTTTTTTTGTTATATATAGGTCCACAACTGTTAATTTATCTACAAAAATATTATGCTGACTGGACAAAATTATAGATTTAGTTACGATTTTGACAACTGAATAGGTATACATATATAGAGAAATGATGATAATAGAAGGAATTTTCTTTGTCACAAAAAAAATGAATGAGATAACAAGTAATAATTGATAAGAAGTTTAAGGATGAACATAAAGGGTAGGGTGGAAGACTAAGGACAAACGAGAAAGTATGTTACACTATACACAAATTAAAAGAAAGGACACAAGGACAAGACAATTACGGAGTGTTTTTTCTTTTCGGTGCAACAAAATGATGTTATTAATTAGTCGGTATCTTTTATAAGTTTTTGATAATGTTGTTGCTGAATGCATCAACAACATAATGGTATTGCCGTATAGGTATGGTAAGTAATAAACGAGTCAAGAGTGTGGATATAATTGATAACCTAATGAAGGATTTCCAATGTCGTTGTCTCATTACGATCTAGCGGTGTTAAATCAATTATCAAATTTGGAACTATCTTCGCATTTCATTACTATTGAAGTATTGAGTACCAAAGCAACATAATTTTATCAACAACCAAAAGAATTTAATTACCTCTTTGTCAAAAATAAAGTAAAAATCTATGTGAATGACAATTGAAAATTTATGTGCTAATGTTCACTAATTAGAATTAATGATATGGCACAGGTTATGCAAGTAGATTTTGTGATATTGTGTTTAGGACGATTTAGTGATTTACCAAACATACCAGAGTTCCCTTCAGACAAAGGTCCTGAGGTATTTGATGGCAAGGTTATGCATTCTATGGATTACTCTGCTTTGGATTACCAATCTGCTAGAAATTTGATCAAAGGAAAGCAAGTTACTGTGGTTGGCTTCCAAAAATCAGCACTTGACATTGCTATGGAATGTTCTGTTGCCAATGGTAAGAGCTACACCACATATAATGATATAATTAGCATTATTGGTTGTTATAGGGTGGCAAAAATTATGTAACGCTTTGTACGTTTCATATTTGTACCAATCTTTCGAGCACACTAGCTACTTAGCTAGTTGGATCATTCATCTTACCTAGTAATTAATTTAATCAAGGGATGTACATTTTTATATGTTTGTATGATGTTGAATGCAGGAGTGGAGAAACCGTGTACGGTGATTTGTAGAACTCCGCATTGGAATGTACCGGACTACTTCCCATGGGGATTTCCTCTTGCGTATTTGTATTTGAATCGCTTTTCTGAACTCTTGGTTCATAAGCCTGGTGAAGGCCTTCTACTTAGCCTCCTAGCCTCTCTACTTCTACCATTGGTACTATATTTCCCCTTTTATATCGACTATTGGTCAAGTTTATTGCACGTTCAGCATCTATTCTCTTCATCTTATTTTAACAAAATTATGTACTTTTTGTCAAGCATTTTCTGTTTTTTAGGGATTGAAATTGATTATACGTAAGTTTATTATATGTTATAGAGAACATAGCTTAAGAGGGCATGATTAAGCTACTTTGAAAATTAATTTATGAATTATTACTCCATACTTCATACTAACATTTATAATTGTTCAAAAATAACAGAGATGGTCTATTAGCAAATTTGTGGAGAGTGACATAAAAAAGAAGCATCGACTAAAGAAATTCGACATGGTACCAGATCATAGCTTCTTACAAGAGATGAACTCGTGTTTGATTTCGACTGTCCCAGAAGGATTTTATGATAATGCTGAGAAAGGAAGCATTGTATTGAAAAGATCTCAAACTTTTAGCTTTTGCAAAGATGGTGTTTTACTTGATAATCATGCTAAAACAAAGGAACCTATTAAATGTGACTTGGTTATTCTTGCTACTGGATACAAGGGTGATCAAAAACTCAAAGACATTTTTTCGTCTCCCAAATTTCAGGATTACATTATTGGCTCTTCCAATAAAACTGTTCCATTATACAGGTTCGCATCTTATTATTTTTTGGCTCCTAATGACATTCCATATTACGTCGCTAACCTGTATAAACGTGTTATTTTATGTTTTTTTTTTTTTTTAAAAGTAAATCTATTTAAATATCATTAACTTATACATGTTTATTATACGATTTATATGTAGGGAATGTATCCATCCACGGATTCCACAACTTGCAGTGATTGGCTTTTCGGAGAGCATTGCAAACTTGTACACTTCAGAGTTGAGATGTAAATGGCTATTTGAACTACTTGATAGCAAATTCAAACTACCAAACATTCAAAAGATGGAAAAAGATGTGTTGGAATGGGACAAGTTCAAGAAGAGGTCCTCAGGCAAATACTATAGAAGATCATGCATTGGAGCATTGCATATTTGGTACAATGATCAACTTTGCAAGGATATGGGCTTGAACCCGAAGAGGAAGAAGGGGGCTTGGGCCGAAATGTTTGAGCCTTATGGCCCAAATGACTATGCTTAATTGCTTAACATCTTTGCTTCTTCTTTTTCTGCTTTCTTTCTCTTGTGTGACAACAATAATGTAATACGGAGTAATGTAATTTCATTTGCGTTCACATATTCCATTAAGTTCATTTCTGTAATATTTATCGCATATGTATACTTAAATGTACTTGTGAAAACATAAACTCAAGAAATTTTGTATTATAGGGCATATACGTTTGCAAATAACGACTAACTAATTTTTCGAATTGATTCTCACGCATTAAGAAACTTTACAAAATTTAACTCGTATTATTGTTCACATGCTCTGGTTTAATCGAATTGATTTGCATGGTAAGTACGATTTTTTTTTTTTTTTTTCTTATTCTTTCATTCATATATACAAATATACAATTCCATGTTATACCAAAGTCTTTCAAAGTGCCAAATAACAACACTCACAACACTACTATAATTTTTTTTAACACTTACGGAATTTTGAAAAATGAAGGAAACGGAATTAGAAATTTAGAAGGTAAGTTTCCATGCATTTCCTGAATTGAAGTGAAATCTCTTAAGCCTTCCAAAAAGCATGACAAAAATTAGAAGAAACTTTCCCTTCCAACTCCAACGCCCTACAAAACCATAATAACTGTCCTTGCAATTGCTAAAATTATCAAGTCTTCGTTTACAACTGTAGCCCATTGAGAATCCCACGTTTCCATATGCACTGCAAAATAAATATCAATCATTAATATTTTACCAAGTATACATTTTTTTTTGGTGTTAGAGCCATGAGAACCGATCCTAAGATCTTAATATGATTATATGTTGGATACAAAAACAAATACGGAGTACAAGATCTTCTTCTTTTTTTTTTTTTTTTTTTTTGTTGGTGTTTAGAGAGCCACAAAGGCGGGTGATGAGAATCAATCCTAGGATCACTTGGGACCGGGAGGGGAGCTCTAACCACTTGAGCAGTTGAGCTATCCCTCACTCTCGGAGTACAAGATCTTTGTCGTTTAACCACAATGGTAAATTATTACTACTTCGTACTAAACACTTCATCAACTACTCATATATTAATTGACACAAACAAATGGTCAAAAAAATAGCTAACTACTGATTTTATCAAACATCCTAGCTTAGTAAACAATTGGCGATGACAATCATAACTTACTTAAACTATCATTGTATATACAATAGAAACAACTAATAAAACAATAGATGAGAATAAAAATAATGTAAATATGAAGTACTCGTATTATATTCATGTTCGATGATGGGTGATGGAAGAATATTTGATGCTACTTGGTAGATTAAATTAGAAGAGAAAAGAATAATAAAATGATAAAATTAAAATAAGAATAAGAACAAAATGAAATTGTAATACCTTACAACTTCGACAATAATGTTGAAGACGGTGAAATTAAGAGGATCTTGCTTCAAACTTGATTGTTCAGTGATGCAAATAAGCATGACAAAGATAGCAAGATAAGAGAGTGGTGAGAATGTGAGATTCTTAAGGATGTTACTCTCTTGCTTTTGCTTTTTGCTACTCTTGGACTGCCTATTCTCAGCCAATAATGTTGATTCTTTGTCGTAGCCAATCGGTACGAATATGGTGGTCGATGGAAGGTACCTACGAATTTATGCATCATGTAACCTTGTCATAAATTAACTCGCGCATATATAATTTCGTATTACTTTCATTTCTAATCGTGGTACATATACACATAATGTAAAAAAATTACAATAATAAATTATATGGAGTATGTAGATATCACACGGTCACGTGTTCTCAAGTTTTACGTACACAACTTTACTTATTAGTATCTCATACTCATAGCCCGTGAAATAAACAAGGCCATGCCTAGATTACTTCTTTTAGCGCACGTTAAACTTTACAGATTTACTACATGTATGTATGTTACGTACTATATTAGCTTAGCCAAATTTATCCGGTTTTGTTTTCCCTAAGATGCATGAATGATTGGCATTTTGGCAAGGCATATATGCAATAATTGGTCGGTAAACAGTACACTATCTTTGAAGAAGATACGATATGAATGGTCCTCCTAATTGACAGATAGTGTGAAAGATTGAAAGTGTATATATATGTATAGTATGTTGGTTCATTATAGGTTATTGAGTGGCTGTTTCTAATCAATCCATGAACTAACTTGTCTTGTATAACCACTTATTCCACTAGAACATGCAATCATGTGCCAATCAACATCCAATATATATAACATACGGAGTACATGTACTTATACCCTATACTTTATTTTGATTTACACCAACAATAACATAACAATCCTTTCTCACAATCATAGTAACATAACAAATCGTATACAAGCATATATAATTTTTTTACGAGTTACTGTATTATTTTTGTTTTTAAAAGAGAAAATTGAATTTCAAATTCCTTTTATGTACAATCTTAGTAACATAACAATCCTTTCTTAACGAGGAAGGAGTCCCTCCATCTCCCCGGCTCCCCCCACCCCATGTGATGGGAATTCGATTCCTCATAGCCCCTCCATTTCTGTAATAGGGTGAGCGACCCTCCCCGTAGTTTACCATTTAAAAAAAAAAAAAAAAAATATCTTCCTTAGCATAGCAATCACAAGATTGGACCACAGTACAAACAAAGATACATGAGAAAGAAATAAAGAAAGAACTTACATCATAACCACAAAGAGAGCCAGAGTAGCTGGTTGAAGAAGAGATACATCAACAATTGACTCTCCACTATGTCTTGAATTAACAGTTTGAAAGAGTGAACCAACAATTTTTGTATACCAATTTTGCCCTTGAAAAACCAAAGAATTCCACTCCAATGTTGTAAACACCAAAAATTGGATCATAACAAGCCCAATTGCTGTAAAACTCAAAAGAAAAGCTTTGAAGCTTGAAATCAAATTCCCATAACCTAAATCATCATGATTTCTTAACATGTAATTGTATTCTTCTTTTCCTGTAAATTTCTCAAGAACCCAAATTACTACCCTTAAACAAGAAGGGTACAATTTATTCCCCATCAAAATTTGTGGTATTAGGATTAGAAGTAAACCCGAGTTTTTGTTAAAGGGCATCATGTTTTCGTTTATAGGGATGAATCCACAATTTGCAAATGTGGATACTATAACGAATATAGAAAATAGGTGAGAATCGATTTTTTTTATTACATGGACATTATTTGCACTTGAGATAATGTTCATATACAAGGATACAGAAATGTACCCTAGTATATGTGACACTAAAATGTACCCTAAAACTACATGATTAAGTACCCTTAGAGTTTTGGACTTGATACCTTCACCTTCAGAGGTAGGGTTAGGGTTTAAGGCATGGTTTCGCGCTCTTCTCTTATGCTTTAGCCTTCGTATTTGAAGGCCAAGGAGGGATAGGAAGACCTCACCCCCGGAAAACATTAATATTACTAGTACTATTAGTTGTGTACTCGTAAAATCTTCCATTTCAACCGTAGACATACTAGAAATCGTCGTTGCCGACACCGAGGTGAAGATGAGGTCGAGGTCGAGGTCATGGTGAGGGTTTGAAGCTAATGAAGAGCTCTGTTTCGTGCCCTTTAAGGAAATATAGCCAAGAAAAGAGATGGTGATGTAGTAAAATAAATGGTGCCAATATGGGTTTATTTGAAAGAGTAAGTACTCAAAACCATGACTTATATAAGGTTTAATGTTTTTGTGGAAAAAACTAATTATTTGATCCAGTATTTCATGCTGGATAACTAAATATTTTTCCATCATTTCTTGGAGATGGTGATGAAGTTGCATACTTAATTGGATTATTTTAATTTGTGAGATATATGATATGATTATTTAATGAAGTATGTATATATGAGCTAATAGGTTGAAATATACAAAATCCACATACTTTATATTGTAGTATGTTGTAGTCAAGGAATTATTCATGTCCACATAATTAAATTAAGAAGCATAAAGCTAAATAACTTGTAAAAGGGTGCTGGGACAGGATATATATGTATTATTTGGTGTATATTAGCGCGTGGGAAATATATGATCGCATGATCGAATCTATATATATCTATAGATGGATATCAAGTAGTAATTGGGATACTTTGACTTTGAGTAAAAAATGTGTCACATATAGAGCTGTTAAAAGTTGACCCGATTCGAAATACCGACTTAAATCCAATTATTAACCGACTCATCTCAACCCGGAAAAATGGAGACCTGACCCGACCTGAAACCAACCCTAAACCTGAGTTGACCCGAGTATGTGAGACCCGAACCCGAACATGAACTGACTTGGAGATGACCTGACCCGAATGTAACCCGTAAATTATTGACCTAAACCGAACCCAACTTGAACCGAAATTAACCCAAACCCGTTTTAACCCGTCAAAACCCGAATTTAACTCGACTTGTTAGGAACCCGTTCCTATCTCAACCCGAATTTAACCCAAATTGTTACAAACCCGACCTGAAATCAACCCGACTTGTTATTGACCTGACCCAAATTCAACCCAACTTGTTATTAACCCAACCCGAATTTTACCAGACCTATTACTAACCCGACCCAAAAATTCAACCCGATCTGTTACTAACTCGACTCAAAATCAACACGACTTGTTATTGACTCCACCCAAAAATTCAACCCGATCTATTACTAACTCGAATCAAAATCAACATGACTTGTTATTGACTCCACCCAAAAAATCAACCCGATCTGTTATTAACTCGACTCAAAATCAACATGACTTGTTATTGACTCCACCCAAAAATTCAACCCGATCTGTTACTAACTCGACTCGAAATCAACACGACTTGTTATTGACCCGACCTAAATTCAACCCAAATTGTTCCTGACCCGATTTCAAATCACCTTAAATGTAATTTAGACCACCTTATTATTGTTGATCAAAGCATTTTGTCTAGGGAGACCAAGTCGGTCTTGGCCAGCAAAAGAAAGGAGCATCATCGTCAAATTTAAGAGTTAAATATAATATGTATTTGTCGTATGGTCAAAGAAGATAATTATCTTCCTAAATTATAAACTATAATTTCCTAGTATATTGACATATATATTGAAAAAATTAACTTGATAAAAATGATAATTATCTATTTAAAGTTAGTTGAACCCGAATATGACCTGACTTGAAAATTACCCGACCTGATTGTAACCTGCAAATTATTGACTTGAACATAACCTGACTTAACTCCGAGAATGACCCGACTTAGAAATGACTCAACTTGATTATAACCCGCAAATTATTGAATTAAACCGAACCCGACTTGAAAATGACCCGACCTGATTATAACCCACAAATTATTGACTTGAACCGAATTGAACTTGACTCAAACCTGAGAATGACCCGACCTAATTCTAACCCGCAAAATATTGACTTGAACAGAACCCGAATCAAACCCGAGAATTACTGTAGACACCCATTTGTGTCTCCCCAAAATCAAACCTAGTGATGAGTACCTTTCACGTCGAATCATAATCGAATGAAACGAAAGTGTGAAAAGGTCTAGTGTTGCGGAAAGTTTTTGTTTCTTTTCTCTTCTTTCTGTTTTTGAAAACTTTATTTTAAGAAAACAGCCAATCCAATTTGGTTGGTCCATGATATGGGTCCAATAGTAGTGTGGTTGGATGGGGCTTGCAAAGACCTTTCCAACGATATATTATAAGCCCAATTCCGATGAATATTGAGGAAGTTATGACCAATTTACCAAACTGGGCCCGGTTTGAGCTTTATGTACGGCCCAATGATCTAGGGGAGGGCCTAATATGATTTATCATTCCTAATGTAATTAGGAATGGTTTTAGTCTTCTAGAATCTTCTAGAAGATTCTTTTCATTCCTAATTCAATTAGCATTGATAAGTTGACTTTGTTGACTTTTCAGAGTTTTAATCAAAATCAAATAGCATTTTCGAAGAAATTATATTATTTTATCCTCCAATACGGTAAACTTATCGGATTTTCGAAAACGCGTTAAAATCAAGACTGTCGTCCAACCTCAGGCCTTGGCGCCAGGAACCAGGCTTGGCGCCAGACGCTAGCCATTAGCGCCTAGCGCTAGCCATTGGTGCCTGGCGCCAGCTAGCCAGGGTTGGCGCCAACCTCGTTTTGCGTGCGTCAGACTCTGTTTTGTTAAATTATCTTTTTTGGCTGATTTTCTCTATAAATATCGTATCAAAAATTCCGTTTTGATTCACCTACAATCATTCATCATCTACATCTATCATTCACCAATTCTCCTCATTCACAAGTATTAGCATTCTTTAAAACATTCATCAATTCTTTCTTACTTTGTTTTCATACAAAATTCCGCATTCACAAGATCAGGAAACACCTAGCCATATTCGAAGTTGCCTTCGCTCTAGACGTGAAAGGTTTAGTTTCTGAGGGTTTGGTCCCAAATCTCTCTTTCAATTATTTAATTTAATTGTTTGTTTATTGTTTTCCTTGAAGTTACTAACGTGTGTATTTTGTTATTAGAAAAAGGTACGAAGCATCAAAGTAAGTACTTTAATGGTTTTAATTGATGTTATGATGTAGAAATCATGTTTACATTGTTATCATGATATTCCTAGTATCATGTCTAGGGTATTTTTAATATTAAATATGATTGTTATGATGCTTCCTATGTTCTTCCTAATATTTATTCATGTTAGTATCATGTTAGGGTTAAAGATTTGATTTTTAATGTTTAGTGACATGCTAGGGTTTGTTATTAATCTTGTTACTATCATGCCTAGGATCTTGCTATTATTATGTTTTAACATTAACATGAACATGATTATGATTATAATTGTTATAATTTATGATGATTATGAATATTATTATTATTATTTTTATGATGATTATGATTTTTATTATCATGATATTATTATTATGTTGCTTGATTATATTTATATTTATTGCTTGATCACGCCTTTTATTGCATGTTTAAAGGGAATTGGTACTTGTAATCACGCTTAATAAGATATTTAATAATCTTGTTAGGGTTAATTTGATTATAATTCAAGTGATCGCCAATAATAGATTTATTTGTGCATTAAATTCAACCAACATAGATAAACAGGTTTAGGGTTAATCCTACTGATTGTATGTTAATCAGAAAGCGCACATGAATACGATCAGAATAAAGTAGAGGCCTATTATTAGGGCAGGTTCAATCTCTTTTAGGTTGGATTTGTACCTTCATCCCCGGACCCTTATTTGGTTCAAGACCTTATGGAGTTGACGATCTCTTGGATCGTTAAGGGGTGTAACCTCACCTCGTGAACGGTTTATAAGTTCCTTAAAAACTTATTGGCGACTCTTTTGCTCTATCTTCTTCCCTTTTGGACGCCACCGTACTTTAGTGTATGATCACAGTGGGGTTCAAGCTAGTGGGATTAAGGCTTGAAATTATTCCCTACAATTACCCTAGCCCGTTTTAACCCATGAAAACCCGAATTAAACCCGACTTATTGTCCACCCAACCCGAATCTAACCCGACTTAAACCTGACCCAAACCCGATAAGAAGGATGACCCGACTTAAGCATAACCCAACCCAAACCCAACCTGCATAGGTTATGGAATTAATCCGAATTGACCCGATTCGAGTTGAACCGACCCACTATTATCGATCCAAACCCGACCCGTTTATCCGAATTAACAACTCTACTCGAAACCTCCAAAATTTCTCAAAAAGCGTAGTTAATAGCCTTCAATTTTGGATTTTTTTGACTTTTTTTCACCTGGAAATTAAAATTGCCGAAATGTTTACCATGACCCCTAATACCCTCCGAGAGTCCAATTAGCTGGGTGGAACCATCCAATTTGCCTATAAATGACCAATTCACCGGTTTACAACTTGCACCGATTTCATTAACTCAAGCTTACCACGAACATTTATGACAATATATAATGATAATATATGGATCCAAACTGCATTATATGACCCGGAGATGTATCCCCTAAAATCTCAATGCTTTTCGATACCGAACCCTGAAACATTCAAAAAAATTTAAAAAGTGTAGATATTAGCCTTCAATTTTGAAATTTTTGACTTTTTTTTCGCCCAAAAATAAAAATTGCCGAAATGTTTACCATGATCCCTAATACCCTTTGGGAGTCCCATTGGGTGGGTGGAAGCATCCAATTTGCCTTTAAACAACCAGTTTACCATTTTACAACTTGCATCGATTTCATTTACAAACCTACCACGAACAATTCTGACAACAAATAATGATCATATATGGTTCCAAACAGCATTATATGACCTCGAGATGTATCCCCTAAATTTTCCAAACTTTTTGACGTCGGGCCACGAAACCTCCAAAATTTCTCAAAAAGCGTGGATATTAGTCTTCAATTTTGGAATTTTTTGACTTTTTTTCGCCCGGAAATAAAAATTGCCGAAATGTTTACCATGGTTCCTAATACCCTCCGGAAGTCCAATTGGGTTGGTGGAACCATCCAGTTTGCCTTTAAACAACCAATTTATAACTACCGGTTTACAACTTGCACGGATTTCATTAACTCAAGCCTACTACGAACATTTATGACAACATATAATGACAATATATGGTTCAAAACGGCATTATATGACCCCGAGATGTATCTCCTAATATATTAATACTTTTCTACACCGGGTCCCAAAACTTCCAAAATTTCTCAAAAAGCGTGGATATTAGCCTTCAATTTTGAAGTTTTTTGATTTTTTTTCGCCCGAAAATAAAAATTGCCGAAATGTTTACCATGGTCCCTAATACCCTCTGGGAGTCCAGTTGGGTGGGTGGAACCATCCAATTTGCCTTTAAATGACCGATTTACCGGTTTACAACTTGCACCGATTTCATTAATTCAAGCCTACCACGAACTTTTA